GGGTCCTGAGGGGCAGTCAGGGAGGAGGGGGCGGAGGTTCTGGGGGGCGGTCAGGGGATGGGGAACAGGGAGGGTTGAAGTGGGAATCCCAGGGGGCCTGTCGGGGGGGCAGTCAGGGGACAGGGAGCAGGGGGTTTGGATAACGGGGTGGGATCCCGGGGGGCAGTTAGGGGTGGGGGGTCCCGGGAGGGCATGGTCAGGGGACAAGAAGCAGAGGGCGGTTGGATAGGGGGTGGGAGTCCCGGGGGTGCTGTCAGGGGCGGGGGTGTGGCTAGGAGTCAGGGCAGACAGGGGACAGGGGGGTTGGATAGGGGGCGGGGGTCCCAGGAGGGGGTGGTCAGGGGACAAGGAGCAGGGGGGATTGAATGGGTTGGGGGTTCTGCGGGGGGCAGTCGGGGGCAGGAAGTGGGAGGGGGCAGATAGGGGGCAGGGGCCAGGCTGTTTGGGGAGGCACAGCCTTCCCTACTCGGCCCTCCATACAGTTGCGCAACCCCGATGTGGCCCTCGGGTCAAAAAGTTTTCCCACCTCTGGTCTATACAAATATCTACAGGGGGAACAAATATTTAATAATGGGCTTTTCAATTTGGCAGCAAAAGGTCTAACATAATCCAATGACTGGAAGCTGAAGCTGGACAAATTCAAACTGGAAATAAGGTGTACATTTTTAATGGTGAGAGTAAATTAACCCAGGGTCGTGGTGGATTCTCCAAGACTGACAATTTTTAAATCAAGATGGGTGTAAAAGCTCTGCTCTAGGGGTTATTGTGGGGCAGGTCTCTGGCCTGTGTCATACAGGAGGTCAGATTAGATGATCGCAATGGTCCCTTCTGGCCTTGGAATCTCTGAGGTAAGAGGAAAAACCCAGCTCGGTGGTGGCTGACTGAGAGAAGGAGTAGATCTCTAGAGCCAGTCCTTTGAAGGAAGGCCTGCAAAGGGCCAGAGCTTAACCAGAGATTGCCTTGAAGCTGCCTGGAGGGAATAATAAGCCGGGCTAAAGCCCAACTAGAGACTCCTAAGTGTCAGAGACTCCTAGGGACAGGCTGGCCTGGTGCAGGACCTTTTTGCTTCTTCTGTTCCTCAAATAATTTGTCCCCTTTGTTTTGGGACCTGCAGAGGAGTCAGCTGGGGAAGAGACTATGAGACAGACCTAGCTGCAGGCCACAGTAGAAAGCAAATGGCCTGAACAAACAGACCTCATCTGTTTCATACAGGGTGTCTGGGCTGGAACCATAGTAGAGGGCGGGCCTGGGTTCCACTACTGGCCCACGTAGGGCAGTGACATGAACACCCCAGAGCCCAGGGCTGGCTGGCCCAAAAGCCTGAAGTTGGGCCAAACCTCGGGTGTGATGCTGCCAGACCACTGGTGTGTTGTACTCGGGTTTCCCTAGAAGGAAGAGGCAGGACTAAAAGTGACCTGGCCATGGGGCCAAGTCACAGGAAGAGGAAGACGACCACAGAGCCAGAGTGGCTGTCGGCAGGGGGAGCCAAAGGAGGAGGAGAGCACCTCGCCCAGGCACGAGGGAGCATGCCCATGGTGAGCAAACTCTTCCACACAAGGTTCCATGTAGAAATGGGTTATAAGAGGTGCGTAAACGATTTAACAGATGTTTCAATAAAGAGACAACCAATTGTTACAACTGTTATCAATCCAATAGGTCAAGAGGTTGTTTATGGTTCATTACCATTTATAACAACTTCCAAGGATGTGCTTATAAGTTAAGAATCACCTGTAGTGCATACTCCTCATGTCTGTGACATGTTTATAACACCTATTAGCTGGTTAATTAACCCTCTGTTAACTATTTATAAGTGGAATCTTTACATAAAGTGTGACTTTTTTCCTTCATAAAACAGATTTTCCAGATACGTTTCTCGGGCTAGTTTTTGGGAGGAGGAGGTTCCAAATCCCATCCAGTCTGGACTGGGCAGCCACAGACATTGCGGTGCTGCAGCTCTGCTCCCCAGCATAAACAGCCACATCATAAAGTGCTCAGCTTCTCGCCTACTAACCTACAGCAATAAATACTATTGCTACTAGGGCAGCCTGTGCAAGGGACAAACGCTTGCAACACTCACCTTTCCAGCAGCTGTCCAAAGCCTCCCACCCCCCTCATCCTGCTAGGTGGGCTTTGCTGGCAGGGAGGTGCTGGGGCCTGGCTGCAGAGACCATCAGTTTGACAGCAAGGTGCAAGATCGGAGCTTGTCAATATGGTGGGAAAGCGGGGAGGATGTGACAGCCGGGGGACAAAGTGCACACGAGGGGAAGCAGGCTTGTTGTACAGGGGGTTTAGCATCTAGGAGCGAGGGTTTGAAATGCATCCTCTGAGGTGTGCATGGGGAGCGGCTCAGTGGAAATCTGTCCTCAATGACATCTTAGAGACAGGGAGCAGGAGGCCGGTCTGTTTCTGACTGAATGGGTAGCTTCAGCCCCATCTCTAGCTTCTTCTTCCTCCACACAAGCCAAGGCGAGGAAAACGGGACTATGCTGCCATAGTATCATGTCAAATCAGCCAATGTGTTGGTTTTCCCCATTCACAGTTCATTGCCTATCAGCGACTGAATACATGTGAAAGACTTTATTCTGAATTCCAACGCATCAGGCTAATGTTTGACACAGACTGAATTTTCCATGCTAGGACAGAGTGGGGCTAGGAGACTTTCTATGACAGGCAAGGTTTACATAGAATAGGGCCTGATTTTCAGAGGTGTCTGAAAACCAGGCCTAGTACAGGCTAATAATTGAGTCGCATGCCGCTCAAATTTACCCAGTTTGCTTTGCTCCTTTTTCTGCATGTCCAGTTCATCTGTTAGCCTGCGGATCTCTTCGTGAGCCATCTGCAGCCTCCGTGCGGCCTCATCCAGGTCTCGCTCAACCCGCTTTCGTAACACTTTCTCTCTTTCCAGCTCTTCATTATGGGACTGAAACACAAGCAATGCTTATGGGACAAAGGAAACCGAATACCTTGTCTGCACTAATTAGTTGCAGCGTAGCAGCTTGCACTAGTGCAGGGGTGGGAAAACTTTTTGGACTGAGGGCCACATCTGAGTATGGAAATTGTATGGCAGGCCATGAATGCTCACGAAATTAGGGGTTGGGGTGCGGGAGGGGGTGAGGGCTCTGGCTGGAGGTGCGGGCTCTGGGGTGGGGCCAGGAATGAGGGGTTTAGGGTGCACAAAAGGACTGAGGAAACGGGTTGGGGTGTGGGAGGGAGTATGGGCTCTGGGCTGGGGGTGCAGGTTCCAGGGTTGGGCCAGAAATGAGGGGTTCAGGGTGTGAGAGGGGGCTCTGGGCTGGGGAAGGGTGAGGAGGTGGGGGGGCTCCGGCTCCGGCTGGGGGGGCGGGTTCTGGGGTGCGGCTGGGACTGAGGGGTTTGGGGTGCACGAGGGTGCTCCGGGCTGGGACCGAGGGGTTCAGAGGGCGGGAGGGGGATCAGGGCTGGGGCAGGGGTGTTGGGGGGTGGGGGGTGGGCGGGGGTGCAGGCTCCAGGTGGCGCTTACCTCAAGCAGCTCCCAGAAGCAGCGGAATGTCCCCCTGCAGCTCCTACACCAGGGGTTCTCAAACTGGGGGTCAGGACCCCTCAGGGGGTCACGAGGTTATTACATGGGGGGTCGCGAGCTGTCAGCCTCCACCCGAAACCCCGCTTTGCATCCAGCATTTATAATGGTGTTAAATGTATAAAAAAGTGTTTTTAATGTATAAGGGGGGGTCACACTCAGAGGCTTGCTATTTGAAAGGGGTCACCAGTACAGAAGTTTGAGAACCACTGTCCTACGCAGAGGCGTGGTGCCAGCCAGGTGGCTCTGTGCGCTGCCCCATCTGCAGGTGCTGCCCCTGCAGTTCCCATTGGCTGCGGTTCCCAGCAAATGGGAGCTGCAGTGCCGGCGCTCGGGGCGGGGACAGCGTGCGGAGCCCCCTGGCTGTCCCTACATGTAGGAGCCGGAGGGGGAATTTGCTGCTGCTTCTGGGAGCCACGCGGAGCCACAGCATGCGTGGAGCAGGGCAAGCCAACAACCCCGCTCCCCGGCTGGAGCGCCGCAGCAAGGCAAGCCCCCAACCCCTCTCCCCAGCAGGAACTCGAGGGCCAGATTAAAAGGTCTGATGGGCCAAAGGCTGCCCACGGCCCGTAGTTTGCCCACCCCTGCACTAGTGCATGGGAAGTGGGGACACACTAAATATGCAGGAAGCAGGTGTGTGGGAGCTGCTGCTTAGGCAGTATATGGAGTTGCTGGCAACCCCCAGTTACGTAAGGACGCTGACATGTTATGTGTGTATGTCATGGCTGCGGGCTGGCAGCTGATTTTAGGCATTGGTGTTTTCCAGGTGAATCCCTGTGGGATAAAAAGAACAGAAACACTTTCTCCCTTGAGAAACACTGTTAGTCAAGTTGTATTTTCAGTCCTAGATTCATAGATTTTAAGTCCAGGAGGGACCATTAGATCTAGCATGGCTTCCAGGAGGACATCCAGTTTTGATCTGAAGACTTCAAGAGATGGAGAATCCACCACTTCCCTTGGTCGTTTGTTCCAATGGTTAATCAATTTTGCCTTCTCTTTAGTGTCTTTAGGTTGTTTGGGGTGGGAGAATGGGCAGAGCTGAGAGCAGCCAAGCCCCGAATGAGGGCTGCAAGGCTGTTTAATAAAAGACTTGCTTTTTTATGTTTACAGTGGAGGAAAGTGCTTTTTGCTCAAACTTTCCAACAGGGCTGCCCAGAGGATTCAGGGGGTCTGGGGCAAAGCAATTTTGGGGTCCCCTTCCATAAAAAAAAGTTGCAATACTATAGAATGCTATATTCTCGTGGGGGCCCCTGTGGGGCCTGGGGCAAATTGCCCCCCCCCTCTGGGAGGCCCTGCTTTCCAAAACAATTCCCGCTGGAGCACTTCCTTTTCCTATTTGCATTCCCTTTCACTTTCATTCTCTGCTTCTATCGCCACATGATTTTCAACTTCCACATCTAATGTTTCCACTTCTTGGTTTCTTTCCCTTCCTGCTTTCTGCCCATCTCTCTTCCCCTGCCTCCTCTCATCTTTCTTCCCACTGCTCCTCCATGTCTTTTCCCTCTCTCCTCCCAGAGCTCCCTTCCCCCAGCACGTTTCTTCACTTTTCCCTTGTCCTTTCCACGTGTCTTTAGCTGGAACCAGCCTCTTCCTTAAGGCAGTTGCCCAGCTAGGCTAGCTGCAGAAGCACTGGGTCTGCCAGCTAATACTGACCTCCTGTTATAGTCTGACTGGCTCCTGGACTGTGGATGTTTTTTATTCAGGAGCCAGGTACCTTTCCCACTAGTCAGATTTCTGCAGAAAGTGATTTTAATTTATAACTAGGGCTCTACCAAATTCATGGTCCATTTTGGTCAATTTCACAGTCATAGGGTTTTAAAAATCATAAATTTCATGATTTCAGCTATTTAAATCTGAAATTTCACAGTGTTGGAACTGTAGAGGGTCCTGACCCAAAAAGGAGTTGTGGGGGCGGGGTCACAAGGTTATTGTGGGTGGGGTTGCGGTACTGCTACCCTTACTTCTGCGCTGCTGCTGGCAGAGCTTGGCCCTCAGTCAGCAGCCGCCACTCTCCAGCCACCCAGCTCTGCAGGCAGCAGTGCAGAAGTAAGAGTGGTAATACTGCAACCCCCCTAAAATAACCTTGTGACTCCCCTGCAACTCCCTTTTGAGTCAGGACCCCCAATTTGAGAAACGCTGGTCTCCCCCGTGAAATCTGTATAGTATAGGGTAAAAGCACACAGAAGACCAGATTTCACAGTGGGAGACCAGATTTCACAGTCCGTGATGCATTTTTCATGGTTGTGAATTTGGTAGGGCCCTACTTATAACTGTTCTCAGCCCAGTTGACCTGCATCTGCTTTACTTCCCGAAGTCACATCTCTGTGTGGAATCACAGTTACATACTGTACTAGAAGCAAAAGGTTGCATAAATGTTTTACCTTATTCATTGTCTCTTTAGTATGTTGCATGGATTCGCGTTGTTGCTGAAGTTCGTCTTCTAACGTCTGGTGGATATGATCAAACTTATCCTTGCATGAAAAGACGTATCAATAAGCTTACTGTTAATCTTCACTGGATATTGATATGCTGCCATTTAAATGTTAACTTATCTTAATTAACCATGGGTTGTAATCATGTCTTATATTTCAAAAGTGCCTTTAATCCAGATAGATCCCAAATTGCTTTAAAGAGCCCTCACTTGCCTGTTGCACTCTGCTGCTTATTGGGAACTCTGCAGGTTCTTTGCGTTTTTTAACCTTGTGATGTCACGGGCCTCTTCCTTTTACATCCTATGGGCTCAGCTCTGCACAAAGAAATATACTGATACTGAATATGCTTGACTGACTCTACTTGAATAAAGCTGGATAACTTCCCCATGTTCCAGCCAGTCTGCACCACTCAAAATCTTAATTACAACCTCATACTTCCTCCCGAAACACAAACCACGCAGCACACTCAACCTGTGCACATATATCAATGCTGCAAAGGTTGTAATTAAGATTTTGCATTTTATTGTGAGGGAGGTGAATGTGCTTGTGTGTAGTGCATTTCCTTATCACCTGGAGCCTGAAAAGGATGTTCCTGGTGAGACTTCAGAGACTGTCCATGGAAACATGCTGTGTGGTCAGGGTACCATTAAAAGGTGGCCCAGAACTTGACATTTCTTTGCTTTTAAAAGTTTGCATTGTGAGGGAGGATGTTTCACTTACCCAGCCTTAATCCCTTTTAAACATAAATTTTGCTGGACTATATTTCCGTGATTTTATTATACTGATGATATACTTTTAACATCGAAATCAGATCTTGACAACTTTGAATATCCTGCAGCTGAAATGAAGTCTTCATCCTATTATGATGACCTTTGAAATGAATAGTTGTATTCATACTGTTAATTTTTTTGGCTGCACAAAATTTACAACAAAATTACCACCTCTCTCCATGGGAGAAGTATAGATTAAAATATTTATATATTAATAGTTTTCAACCCAAAATATTAATAATCAGAAGTCTGTCATACTCAGTTGTCCAGAGTTAAGAGATTCCTATCAGACATCATGTATAACTATAATGGATGAGGAGTGTGAAAGTCTGGACTAGAGTTAGACAGGGAGAGTTCATTAATGTGTCAGACTAAACTCAGGTATGGTCCTTCACTAACCAGAGTCAGTGAGGACTGTATATGTTGTATATCCTTGGTGGGAGTATTAGCCATTAGCTACTTCAGATCTTTTTCACAAGAGATTGTTTCATTTGGCCAAATAATTGACTAGTGACTATCCCTTCTGTGATCTAGGATCCCTCGTCCTTTGCTCACCTGGGGCACACCAACAATGCTGTTGCCTGAGTGATGCATGGGAAACTTTGCATAGATATGTGTAAAAAATCCTTTTCTAACATTCTTTTCTCTCCATTCTTCCTGCCTTTGATTAACTCGCTTGTTCAGTGCTGACTCCTCAGGTAGTGCTGCCCTCTTGGCAGAAATGATCTGATTCTACCTGGTAATTGACCAAGAACAAGTTGTAATTAACTCAGTATTTTATTAGAAGGTTATTATGGCTCTGTTGGCTCTTTTTTAAATACCTTGGGGCTTCAAAATGAATTTTTAATGGGGAATAATTGATCTGTTTGTAGTGATTATTTGTATCCGAGAAGTGACTAGCATCAGCTGGCAGAGCCCTGACTGCGCAATGGTTCATGACCCAGAACTTTTGTATAAATGAAGCTTCCCCCCAATGCTAATGGAAGAGACTTGTGTGTCTAAACATCAGCCATAACTGGGATGTGTTAAGTGTGAACTCAAGTTGGTATTTATCTGAAAATATCAATGACTATTTATTTATAATACGTCTGAGGTGGGTGTTGGATGTTTTTATTTGGGGTACCAGAACCTTTTGTGACTTGAAGATTTAGGCTCTAACCCTGAAAAGACTTGGGGTTGTATTTATGAAATTGTTTAATGACTATTTTGGATTGCATACGCATTAGGTGTATTTTTGTCGCTTTTACATTTTACTATTTATAGACTGAAAATATGACAGGACTATGGTGAAATTTAATAATAGCATAACTACTGAAAACACAGCCTGCAACAGAACACTCAGGACCCAGAAGGGGGCTCTTATAGTTATGGTTATTCCACATCACAACTTCCCTAACAGCAGCAGGCAACATCTTCCTTGACAGTGGGAAGCTGGGACCAAGACAAGTTCCCTCCAGAGCTCAAAGGCAAAGGACAGGACAGTGGCACCCGGTTTCCAGAAGCACATATGAGGCCAGCCTTGTAAGGAGCTGCTCAGAGGGAACCTTTTGCAGCATACAATAAGAAGTTTTAGTGGTCCTACAAAACCCACGAACCATGCTACGTATTCTTGAGCACCATGTACTGGCACCTTTTCTGTTCACCATTTACCTGTAGATAGAGACAGAGCACTCTTGTAGCAAGTCTCCTAGAAATGGCTGTTATGGCTGAAATGGTACATCAAACTAACAATCCTCTTGGTTTTGCTGGTTTTGTTATGAACCATGCTTTGCAATAAGCAGCCTAAAAATATGAGAGCCTGTGGGGCTAAAATACATAGCCAGGCAACTTTTCCAGGAGAGAGTTTTTTCTTCTAAAGCATCTCCTGTTTCTTTGAAGGACTTTAGAAATGAGCTCTGTCATAGAGCCTTAGTCTTGCCATTCCAAGACCTTTATGGATCCAGTCCAGAAGTCCTTACTTAGTCCTCATTTATGCACAGGTGTATCAGATCTCCTAGTTATATTAGAAGTCTCATGATACATAGTGTTTTACTTAAAGCCCCAGGTCCTGCAGTCATGTGATTGGGAGACTCTTAGCTTTTGTGGGGGTTTTTTTAAAATTAAGTTTCTATCCTTCATGGTTGTGAAGAATTCCTCAAAAGCTAGAAAGAACACACTATATTCTTTTTAAAGTCTCATGATTTTGAAGCTAATCTCACAATTTTGAGGGAGGCATGACTCATGAAATCCTGCACATGGAGTCATCAGAAATACCAGGGTCAGCGGGAAGCCAATACTACCTGAGTAAGACTTCTGAACTGGGCCTTATAGGTTTTCTTTTTCATAACAAAGCTTTCAGCATTCTCTCCTTTTATAGAAAAAATAATGCTGTTAATTATTCAATTCCAGACCTCTAGAGCAAAGCAAGTGCAAACATGGATAGGTAAAAATTAGTATGGAAACAGACTTCAGCTTTAAGAATCCAGAGGGTTCTTATAAATGATAAAATTGTTTTTAATTAAAAAACAAACAAACCCCGAGAATAGCCTTAATTGTCCCTTCGGAGGGGCTAATCAGATAATCACCAACTGAGGAGTTTGATACCTGAAGTTGTGCTGCACACAGTCCATCTATGTAGCTATGCGAATCCAGCTTTTGATCTGCAATCTCTAGTTTCTCCAGCAGCGTAGTTCTTTCTACCAGTAAATAAGCAATCTGTTCGCTGGGACTGCTGTGAGCTATCTCAGACAAGCCTTCCTGTTCCAGCATTTCCTCCACCTCCTTCAGCTGGGCTTCTGAAAGAAACACAGAGAGCAATGAGCAATGGATAGGGGTTGGATTTTCAAAACTGCCTGACACCCACTGCCTATGACTGCCAACGAGTGCCTAACCTCTTTAGGTACTTTTAAAACCCCCACCCTGCTGACATGCGGAGTTGAGAATGTTCAGCACTGACAAGTGTGGTTAGATTTTCAAAAGTACTTTGCTCCTAGCAGCTTCCATTGTTCTCAAGTGCACTGAATGAGGCAGGGGTCCTATGGAAAAAATAGTATGTGATCATGTAATCGAAAAGCAAATTAAGGTTGCAAGGAAAACCTTAATTCTGGTTTATTCTAACTCTTGAGAGCTTGATTTTGCAACCTTAATAGTGCTCTTTGAATGTAGAGAGACAAGGTGGGTGAGGTGATAACTTTCATTGGACCAACTTCTGTTGGTGAGAGAGACAAACTCTGGAGTTTGCACAAAGCTCTTCTTCAGGTCTTCTTTTAATGTAGGCTTTATTTATGTAATTTCCAAATTAAAAAAAAATATTCCATCATATGGAGCCATATTGACCCCCATCTTGGGTCCTCATCAGGGTTCGGCGGCATGTTAGATCCACAGCACAGACCTCTACCACTCGAACTAATAAACAGTCGAAGAAGTCAGGCTATTATCCTCTATGTGGACCAGTCCCTAGAGGGGGATGAGTTACACTTTGCCAGTGGGTTTCACAGCTATTTGTTGACCACTGAGGAATGTAGGGATGAGGATTCCTGGGCTCAATTCCAGGTTCGGTAGTGGAGTGTTCTCTAATGGTTATGGACCCTTCTGGCCCTGGGCTCCTAGCCCATCCCTGTCCTTCTTCTGTCTCCCTCCACCTCTGCCCTATCCACCAGCTCCAAGCCCTGTCCCCTTCTCCCTCTGCTCTTATCCACCACCCCCACCACAGATTGGTAAGCACAGCATAGCAATTATCATGGGATAAGCCTGCACATCCCAACTCCCCCATTATGCCCTGGGAAAACCAGCTAAGTCAGGAGCTGTCTCCATCACAGAGCTCATGGGGAGCAACCAAGCAGGTGGGTGTCTGCTGCCTTCCTCTTGGCTCTCAAGTGCTGGGTTTGGAGTATTTAAGGGGGATCACCATGGAGGAGCCTTGGCACAGCCACATGTACATAAGAACGGCCGTACTGGGTCAGACCAAAGGTCCATCTAGCCCAGTATCCTGTCCACTGACAGTGGCCAATGCCAGACGTTCCAGAGAGAGTGAACCTAACAGGTAATGATTAAGTGATCTCTCTCCTGCTATCCATCTCCACCCTCTGACAAACAGAGGCGAGGGAACCATTCCTTACCCATTCTGGCTAATAGCCATTAATGGACTTAACCTCCATGAATTTATCCAGTTCTCTTTTAAACCCTGTTATAGTCCTAGCCTTCACAACCTCCTCAGGCAAGGAGTTCCACAAGTTGACTGTGCGCTGTGTGAAGAAGAACTTCCTTTTATTTGTTTTAAACCTGCTGCCCATTAATTTCATTTGGTGGCCCCTAGTTCTTGTATTATGGGAATAAGTAAATAACTTTTCCTTATCTACTTTCTCCACATCACTCATGATTTTATATACCTCTATCATATCCCCCCTTAGTCTCCTCTTTTCCAAGCTGAAAAGTCCTAGCCTCTTTAATCTCTCCTCAGATGGGACCCGTTCCAAACCCCTAATCATTTTAGTTGCCCGTCTCTGAACCTTTTCTAGTGCCAGTATATCTTTTTTGAGATGAGGAGACCACATCTGTACGCAGTATTCAAGATGTGGGCGTACCATCGATTTATATAAGGGCAGTAAGATATTCTCCGTCTTATTCTCTATCCCCTTTTTAATGATTCCTAACATCCTGTTTGCTTTTTTGACCACCTCTGCACACTGCGTGGACGTCTTCAGAGAACTATCCACGATGACTCCAAGATCTTTTTCCTGATTTGTTGTAGCTAAATTAGCCCCCATCATATTGTATGCATAGTTGGGGTTATTTTTTCCAATGTGCATTACTTTACATTTATCCACATTAAATTTCATTTGCCATTTTGTTGCCCAATCACTTAGTTTTGTGAGATCTTTTTTAAGTTCTTCACAGTCTGCTTTGGTCCTAACTATCTTGAGCAGTTTAGTATCATCTGCAAACTTTGCCACCTCACTTTTTACCCTTTTCTCCAGATCATTTATGAATAAGTTGAATAGGATCGGTCCTAGGACAGACCCTTGGGGAACACCACTAGTTACTCCTCTCCATTCTGAGAATTTTCCATTTATTCCTACCCTTTGTTCCCTTTTAACCAATTCTCAATCCAAGAAAGGACCTTCCCTTTTATCCCATGACAATTTAATTTATGTAAGAGCCTTTGGTGAGGGACCTTGTCAAAGGCTTTCTGGAAATGTAAGTACACTATGTCCACTGGATCCCCCTTGTCCACATGTTTGTTGACCCCTTCAAAGAACTCTAATAGATTAGTAAGACACGATTTCCCTTTACAGAAACCATGTTGACTTTTGCCCAACAATTTATGTTCTTCTAGGTGTCTGACAATTTTATTCTTAACTATTGTTTCAACTAATTTGCCCAGTACCGACGTTAGACTTACCGGTCTGTAATTGCCGGGATCATCTCTAGCGCCCTTTTTAAACATTGGCGTTACATTAGCTATCTTAAGAAGACTGCACGAGGTGAATGGAGCTTCCATGTCAGCCTCTCCTCCCTTCTCCGCATCACTGCACAGCTCTGGCCCTGCATGCTCCACACTCCACAATGTCCCCTCCGTCCAGTGTAGGCCTGGCAGCCACCCAAAGCATGTGTGGGTGGGTGGTCCTTCATCTCCCAAATCCCTCCCCTAAATTGCTTTCCAGTGGTTGCACCTGCTGCCCAGCCAGCCAACGGGAGAGTGGAGGTGTCCGAAATGCCAATAATGCACCTTCCTCCAGGGGGTCCCTGCAGGAGGTCCTGACAGAGGCAAACAGCACAGTCACACTCATCCTTATGCTGTTCCTCCAGAGGCCAACCAATAGGATGGAAATCTCCCTACGGAGTTCCCTCTCAATGACCATCAAGAACTGTTCTCCAAGTACCCTCTGCCTACCCCAATCCCAGACTGTGCCAAGTGCTGTTGTTGGTGGCGGCGGATGGTAAGCACCACAGACTTCTCCGTGGGAATACAGCCATAACAGCCACTGATCCGATCAGGGGACAGCATCCACGTTTCATAGCTGCTGTGCAAGAAGCAAAAGGGAGATTCCCATGGGCAATTGAGAACATTTTAAAAGCATATGGAGAATGTTTTCAAAGGTGACATATGCCTCTAAGGAAACCTGCGACTGGAAGCAGACCCCACAGTGGAACCTGTGTGCATACCACAAAGAAAAATTCCAGGGGCACTGCATTATCCAGTATGCAAGGAGCTCAAAAGTCTGCAGAGCAGGGTTATCAATCGTAGCACCTGAACAAGCCAGTACAGCCTGGGTATGCAGTATGGTGATGGTAAAGAAGCCATCAGGCAAATTGTGCATCTGCATAGACCCAAAACTGGGCTGTGATGGGGCGCACTTGTCCTGCACTGGTACTGCGAGGGTTAACTCTACTCTCTGGGCTGAGGAGGCTACGCCCCCATGACCCTGCTGGGCATGCGCCGGCTGGAGACTAGATATAAAAGGGAGCAGCTTGGTTCATTCAGGGTGGACCACTGAAGAGGGAGGATGCACACTGCGAACTCCAGCCTGGGAACCGTGGAAGCCCCAGACGACAGAAACCAGGGACACTGAGACTCCGGAGGACATCCAAGGAGTGTCGGAGCTGCTGGAAGCTGCATTGACCGAGCAGCCCAGAGACCCTGGGGACGCTGCATCAGGAACAGGGTAGGAAGTAGCTCAAGGGGACTAGTTATTGTGCCACATGGGATCAGAGTGTTTGGGGCAGATTCCCTGCTGACCCAGTGGTGGGCATACTTGCCACTGACAGGGCCCTGAACTGGGACCTGGTGGAGCTGGGAGGGCCTGGGGCCTCCTACTCAGCTGCCACTGCTGCCCCCCCTCCCCCGACTGGCTGTCAGGCCACACAGCCCTGCTGAACAGGGCAGCCCTATTGGCTCTGACTGCTAGGCTAAGCTATCCAAAGACAAGGGATGGTTGTATAAACTCAGCCATGGGGCCATCATTACCCCCACCCTGTCCCAAGAAGGCATGGGGTGCACTTGCCCTGCAACATGGGCTCTGAAAAGATGCCACTCTCCCCTGGCCACAATTGATGACAACCTGCCAGAACTTACCAGGTCTGTGATGTGAGGAATGGGTTTTGGCACATAAGTCTGGATAAAGAGTCCAGTATCCTGACAACCTCTGCAATGCCATTTGGTCACTAAAGATGGCTGCACATGCCAATGGACATAAGCCCAGGACTAGAGATGTTCCAGAGAAGAAAGTTTGCAGATGACACAAAAATTGGTGGAGTGGTAAATAATAAAGAACAATCTGTGTTGCTTGGTAAACTGGACACAAGCAAATGATATGTGTTTTAATATGGCTAAATGTAAACCTATACATCTCTGAACAAAGAATGTAGGCCATACTTACACGATGGGGGACTCTATTCTGGAAGCAGTGACTGAAAAAGTTTTGGGAGTCACGGTGGACAGTCAACTGAATATGAGTTCCCAGTGTGACACTGTGACCAAAAGAGCTAATGCCATCCTAGGATGCTGTGATGGGAGTTGTATCCCACACAGACCCTGAAGGGGTTAATGTGGGCCTGAGGGGCCAATTAGGGTACCTGGCTGCACCTGGAGGGAGAGTTGGGCTTAATTTAACAAGAGCTTTGCTGGGCCAGAGTAGGCTGGATTAAAAAGCCAGGAAGTTTGCTGCAGAAGGAGGCTTCAGGGAAAGAGAGTCTGCATTGAGGAGAAGAGGAGAAATCCCAGGAGGGAGAATAAGCCATGGGGTTCTAGCCCTGGAAGAAGGGAAAACCCCACAGGAGTTGTGAGCAAAGGACA